GTATCTTCATATACCTTCTGGCGATTCCTTTTGCCAGTGCTGTCACATACCCTGACCAGCCCCTCTGCGTTTCGAGCACGACAGCGAAAGCCGCTGTCTTTCTCCAGCACAAGGTAGATGTTCTTCAGGCACTTCTCATGAGCTGCAAACTCATGTGGCGGTATCTGTGCCAAGAGATCTTCAATCTTGTGGCCCTCTGCCATGAAGCAAAACGTAAAGGACGTAAAGGAGCACCACTTGTTCAGCCCAAATGGCTGTCAAGACAAGGCTGGCCAAGACAGCATCAAATGCAATCTATGCAACAAACTTGTGCATGCTCACATTCACCATGCAGTCTCAGGCCACGACAATGGCACATAGCCACGCATGCACCAAACACTAACCCCCTAATTTAAGCAAAATGCTGCAGGTTGCACGCACATGAAACGCCTACAAAAGCACAGATGTGCTTGCTAAAGCACAGATGTGCTTGCTAAAGCACATCAAACGCATCAAATTATAATGTGAACTACAGAATTCCCTTGTGTTTTACTGTGTGTGCATGTACTGACATACAGAATTAGCTTGTGTTTTACAGTGTGTGCATGTACTGACATACAGAATTAGCTTGTGTTTTACAATGTGCATGCATATGAACATACAGATTTACCTTGCGTTTTGTGTTTCAACTTATATATTCAACTATAGTTGAACATCATCATAATTGACAAAAATACGGTCGTTTAAGAAAAGACCATTTTTCTTGGTCGTTTCAAAAATTTTTGGTCGTTTGACGAAACAACCAAAAAAAGTGGTCGTTTCAGGTTCCAGGTATATATTAATATACATTCTCAAACGAAACCTGCATGGCAAGGAGGTTCATGTTGTGGATGAAACGTCCGACAGCCATGCGTCTTTTCACCTCTCAGGGGGCCGAATTTTGGGAACGTTCCCGGTGCGGACGCTTTGCCCCCACCGTCTCAGGGCGTGGCCGTGCGTCTTGAGAAACCAACGTCACGGGGGGGGGGTCATAAAGTACTCCTAAACCACCCGAACTCCATGGAGCATGGCTCCTGCGGTTTTCGCGGGCCACGTTTTTGGAGTCACTTCGGGTTCCGCAGGAAACCCGCTCCCGCGGGCGGAACCGCACGGGTCCGGGTCTTCCGCTGAGGAACGGCCACTTCAGCGTGTCCTGCGCCCTCGATCTTCACGCCGCGCTTGGCGGCCATGCGCAGTGAAGGAGAGGAGACGCCAGCGGAGATCAGCACATGGATGGCAGTGTCCACATCCGAAACCTGCCCATGCGAGTTTGTGTTAGTCATGCGCAGCTTAAGGTCGCAACAAACTTGTGTCGCGAGAGGAAACTCCACAAAGCTGTGATCTCCAAACACATATTTCATGATTTGATGATTTGGATCGATTTGGTTGAACAAACCATGCTGGTAGTACTCGGTCGAATCCCAAATTCCCTACCAGGTTGGTCTTCAGCCTTAAGATGCCGCCTTAAGCAGAACTCGAAGGAGCGGTCCTATCCTCTCAGCCCCGCCCCACTCAGAACTCGCTTTCTCTCACAGTTCCTGGCCAACCCACTCAGAGACTACCCAAAGAAAGCGGGGGCAGAATCCGGGCAGAAATCAAATGACTCAGCTTAGGCCTTGCCGCCAATTTCATCCCAAATGTGGTTCTGGTCCGTCTGCTGGGAGCAGGTGGCAAATTGTATGGATCCTTTGTATCTCCTGGCGACGTCACAAGCGACTTCAGGACGTCCCGGCTTGCGAACCGAACAGGAACAGGTGAAGCAGGTCGTCACGAGATGAACCCTCAACATCCAAATGTATATAATATATGTCCCTAGGGATCTTCAAGTACCTTCTCAGAAGGTACTTGGACCCTCCAAACCTACATGAGAGTGTCTCCAATCACCTTCTCAGAGGGTACTTGGATCCCTAGGGTGTGTGAGATTGTGTGAAGCAACTTTCAAACATCATATGAATCGATCACATATGATCAAATCATATCATCAAACCAAACGTTTCAGACGTCCAAAAACGAGACCGGTAGAATGCTTGAACTCAGATGAACCAGATCTGTGGGTTTCTTCATTTTCCCAACGCAACTGACGTAGGAACAAGCAACGATGGACCACATCGGAATGCTTAGCACAACTGCTGGTGACATTGATCTACATGTCTGCTTCCCCCCGATCTTCCCCTCAACAAAAAGACCACAGTCGTCAGTCGCCCACGGTCGTCCACGGTCGTCAGTCGCCTACGAAGCTGTCGACCTTCTTGTTCGATTTGAAGGCTGTGCACTCGGTCCAACTCGGCCATCAAGAAGTAGCCTGAACCGGCGGGTTCGGGCGCGACCCCGACCGGTTCGGGTTCGGGCGATCGGTGTCTGGGTGAAGGCGGTGTCGGGCGATCGGGGGCCAAAGGGCCAAATGAAGGGTTGTAGATGATAGGAACCAGTGAAATGGTGGATTGATGTGGATTGGAATGTTTCTGGCAACTTGGGTGCTACAGTGCTATCTGGCTATCTGGTACAAACAGTTGTGATTTCATTGGCTTTAAATCCTGTCGTGATGTCTGGACCTCGAGTCCAGTGTGGTAGCTAAGATGTCGGTAAGACTCGTGAGAAGGTGAAGCAGGTTCGACTTAAAGGCTTAGCGGCCAATCATTGGGATCATGTTGGATAAGCATGGTATATACATATTACATGTGACACTATGTGAACTATAATATACAGAGAGAGAGAGAGAGAGACACTAGAATCATTTATGCTATTCCACAGAGACTTTTGATTTGAGTCCCCCCCTTACTGGTGGAGATCTTCTCCTCGTCCCAGGCACTGATGGCGGATGCCCAGGTCACACGATGCATGGCCTGCTGCCACATGACGGGGCTCGCACCCGTCAGGCCTGGAGATGTCGTTGGAGCGACTTGAGCCGTAAAAACTTCCTCAAACAACATCGCATCTCCCTCGTGGGTGTGTATTTTGATAGAGGACCTCCCAACCAATCCATTTTGTTACTATATGCTTCTGTTTGGTTCCGCCTGTAGCAAGTGCGGTAAACAAGCTGTCATTAGAGGTACTTGAAGAGGAAACCCAAACCTGACGCGAAAGGCACCTCAAGTACCTTAACATATCTTCCCAAGTGCCCCACCTCAGATGTGCCAGTGTTATTAGTCATGTTTTAAATAGCATCCAAGACGCCAAACGGCTCCCCCAAGCTCTCCAAATACGTCGATGCCACAAGCCCAACCTTTGGATCTTCAGCAAACGGTTGGCAAAATGTCGCAGATGTGTGACATATCATATACTGACTACTAAGAAGCTACTAGGAGCAAAGGGCATCGCTACTAGGAGCAAGGACGCTACCAGTAGCTCCTGGCCTTTCTACTAGTAGCAAGAAGCTACAAGTAGCAAGAAACTACTAGGTGGAGGCCATCGCTATTAGGTTGGAGGCCATTACTACTAGTAACAAGAAGCTACTGTGTACGTGATCTGTACATGTGTAACTATACGCCTATGTGGTTTGTTACACTCAAAGACTCTGCTCTGAGAACAAACGACATAGGCCACATATACAATGTCGATGGACATTCAACACATCTTGATGTCCTTCATTAGAGCCCAGAAAAGAAACAACACTCACACACCTACACACACACACACTTGCGCGCGTGCACGCCGGTCACAAAGACAAAAGCACAATCTATTCGGGGTCAGTGCTGGGAAGCATGGTTCGCCAGTAACCGCCAGCGATTAGCGGTGTACGCGCTGATCAGCGTTGCCAAGGCCCCCATAAGTGCGACAGTTGCTTTGATGTGCCAGGACGGTGAGGGTGCCAACAAACCGATGAAGACTCCCAGCAGAATAGGCACCATCGCCTTCAACATCTGGTGGCTGGTGCCAGCATTTCTTTAAACAAATGTGCTATTGGATTTAAACATGAACACACACACTTTAAACTTCCAACCGCACACCACATGTGAGTGGAGCCTCAAGTGACAACCCTGCTTAAGAAAATAGACCCGCACCCGGCGGGTCATTCTGCAGGAACGCTCATGAAAACCAACCGTTTTCATGTGGGTTGCAGGACTTCTTCCATTGGATGAACCCAAAACAAAATGGCCGTCTCCCAGACTTTCGCATCTGGGAGAAACCAGTTCGCATCTCCAGTTCGATCTCAGTTCTTACAGGCAGGTGACCCGAATGAAGGCCCATGATTTGGAGATCCAACAGGGAGCTGCAGCGATTTGGATGATCTTCTCATTCTCCGAGGCGACGTAGGCCTCATAGCCGCACCAAAGGCGACAGTAGACGCTCTGGTGACGATTGGGCACCACCAAGACATAGCGAGACGCTTGTAGAGCCAAGGCGAAGGGTGAGGTCTTGGGCGACTGCAACATGGAACCAATGTTCAGATGTTGGGGGTTCGCCAGCATGCAACACCACGCGTTGTGCGCTCCTGAAGGCCACGAAGTGAGCACTTTCGAGAGAAATTCAAAGATGCCTTCCTGCCAAGCGTGGCTCACAAAGAGGTGGCAATCCAAACCCTCAGGGTTCTGCATCAAGGCCCAACTCATCTTACCGGCATCGGCAGTGACGGGTTTGATGTACTTCTCAGTGACTTCATAGATACTGGGCCCAAATTTCCTTTCATCAGCGCTTTCCTCACTCTCCTCACTGTCACTGCTTGCCAGCGAGTCGTTGGCCATGCAAGAGGATGGAAGTTGACCCTCCTGAGGGGATTGGGTGTCTATCAAGTAACGTCTCATATATTGAATAAATATAAACCAAATAATACAGCAGTGTTGTCTGTATGTGTTTTCAGGCTTTGCTAGAATCTTTTCCTGTATTGTATGGAGTGTCTTCCCTCCTCCTTTTTCTACGCAAAGAGATTGTTAGATAAAGCTCTCCGCTTCAAAATGCACTTACTGTCACTGCACTCACTTGTGCTAACAAATACTTATTCACAGCACCTGAATTGTCGTCAAGATCATAGGAGGGAAAACCTCGAAGCCTAGTTGTCAGTGTCTAGTCTCCAAAAATTGAAAGCTTTTGCTTGCCTGATGCGGTGGGATTCTCAATAGGCTGTATGAAGCTGGAGAAACGGGCTCCCTCTATCTCCCTCCAGACGTTTGCAGGGTCTTTTTCTCACAAAGAACCCCTGTTTGATCTGTGTTTCTGATTTCCTCGCCTTTTGGTACTCGGACAATGGAACTATATACTATAGCCTTTGATAGATCAAGTCACGCCGTGAAGCAAGGAACAGAACACATAAACCAAAACGCAAACGGGACGAAGACTGCACTCGATGAGGCTATAACGGATTAGCTCCAAGCAAGAGTCATCAAAATCACACACAGTCCCTCTGGGTGACTCAAGAAACCACCTTGCCCAGTGAAAAGAACGACAGTTGAAAGAAACAACCTCCTACAGCACCTGAATTTATCAGACTTGAAATCAAAACACCCCATCCAAGTCCACGGTGTCGCCACCTCCAGGTCCGCTCCTGAATGGCTTCCGTCACTTGGCGCCTGAGATATCTCAGATCTGCTTTGGTCACACACCATCGATCAGGAGTCACGCATTCGTGCATGCAAATCGCTTCCAAGGTCGTCGTGCGGCGCCGCTGTCGCCGGATCAACATCGGCGTGGGAGTAAACATGAGCAATCATTGGAGACTGCTGTTCTTTTGGTTTTGGTCGGAATGCGCCGTAATTCAGGCACACTCTCAACACATGACTATGGACTATGGTTTGATCATCAGAGAATTTGAATTCATGGAAGCTCCAAGGAAACTGATCGAAACGCAAGGAGCATGTTCATGTTGTCCTCTCATGACCAGCTCCTGATCCAAAATGACGAGCAAGTATAGTTTTGTGAGGATTCCGTGCTCTGGGCAACTCTGTGACGTCCTCTATTGAAATCCGGCCCCCTAGTGCCTGATGGCCGGATGATGCAGGATGCTGCCAGGGGGGGCCCTTAGTAAGCCCTGGTTCGAATGACACCTGGACCTTAAGCTTCCGAATGTGTTGCAGAACGACGAGTACCTTCGGGTTCGCTTTTGCCGCCATGTTTTCTCCGAAAAAGATCCGAAATCACCGGGGTCTGCAGCATCACCCCCGGCGAGACACGTCCCGAAAGCATTGCCCTCTTTTGTTCTGGACTTGCTGGGTCGGCCAATTGGATGGCGGCTTGGAGCACCAGGCTTCGCAGGCCTCGAAAACGAACCCGTTCGCCCCAAGCTAAGCCATTCCAGAAGTTAAGCGAGCTCCTATGATATAGGTCCTTAGGTAGCTGTTTGAATTTGATTGGTTGGTATAACAATGTGGTAATCTTCATGCTCCCACTGATGCAAAGAACTGAACAGTGGATCCAGTTCCGTTATTGTGGGTCACTAGTGAGACTTAAACAGACCCACTCATACTTCCTTGCCAGTCTCTTCAGTGAGGCAATCAGTCTTTGAGCCTCAACATCCTGTGGGCCCAAACCCTGCTCCAGTATACAAAACAGCTGGTGACCACAAATCATATATAGACCAAAGGACAAACAGACTACAGTGTTCCACGGAAAGATCTCGTTTCTGAAGCCCAATTCCCTCCAAAAACATCCCAGCAACCACTTCAGAAGGCTGACAGGTTATATGTATGTTATATGTATATAACACATTATAACACGTTGTATTTTGCACTTCAAACAGCCGTTGGTCGAGCCGGTACAACAGCAACAGCAACGGCAACATGGTCTACCTCTTTTGACCAGAGGACTGTTGCTCGTCCAGGCGACGAGCAACTTGGGGAAGACCACCCTTGCCCGGGCCTTGCAAATGTTCCAAGCGCTTTTCACGGGCCGCGACCTCTCAATCCTCCTCGCTACTGGTGATGGAATCTTGCCGTTGCCTCAATTGACCCATTGACCTGGAGAAAATCGTTGGTATGGTGTTTTCATAAGGCCCTCGGACTCAGGGGAAAGAAGTACTTCTTGCTGCTGTTTAGGCCCAAAAGAATACCAGGCTTGGGATGTGCCGGGAGACTGAGGCCTAGAGGAGGGACAGTTGTCTGAAAAAGAACCATGTGGGATTCATGGAACAAAATGATGAGGTCTCGTGGTTTTGGATACTCCTGCTCACCTTCTATTTGGAGCATTTGCTGTATGCTTCCAAAATATTTGGAGGTCTGATGCCTGTTGTGTGTGTTCCCATCATCCAAACACCATTGATGCATGCCACAACCTGTTGAAAGAAGAACCAAACAGGAGAAGAAAAACAAAAACGTGCCCACATAACTGTCACATCTTGGGCACATCTCCGTGTATCTCTCAAAAGTACCTTGTCTTGCCAGGATGTAGTGCAACATGCAGCGGCCACCTGCAGCGGATTGCGGCCAGCGACTGGAAGACTGGAAGACTGGAAGGGGTAAAAACGGTTCAAACAAACCCAGCCTGGCAGCTTCAAAGTGCCCGGGATGCCCAGCAAAGCGAAAAAGAAGGTGACGAACAAGGTCAAGTGAAAACACCTGCAGTGTACTGCTAGTGGAAAAACACGTGTATCAAGTACCCTCCAAACAAACACGTTAATCCTTTCGTCAGTTGGCTGCACAAAGGGTTTCTCCTCTTTTTGGGAGCTTCATTAATTAGTGTGGAGTGGGCTGAAGCATCAAGATGCAGTATATAAGTATATATAATTATGAGACCCATTGTACGGCAGAATCTGCCTAAGAACTTGGGGTGCGTGGATGCACAATTAGCAATGGAGCGTCTTGCAAGCAATTGGCAAAGTATATGTACCAGTAGTGGGCAGGAGGGTACTCGCCCGAGCTGTTGGCAGTGTCTCCCTTTCAGGAAGTCGTTTGCCACCCAAAATGTGGATTTTGTTTATGCCGCCACACATAGATTACTTTACTTCAACTGAGCTCTACAGAATCAATTCCACTGAAACGACTCGACTTTTCCGAAAGCCAACCCAAGGCAGCCCAAGGTACAGAAAAACAATCTTCAGTGCGATCAACAATCTCTCCTTGAAATAATGGCTCATGACCGCCACAACAAGTGCCAATGGAATATATGTGGCGGCCACCTCATCGGTCGCGTTGCAAAGGCGTGGCCGGCGCTTTGTCATCGTCGTCCCCAGCCGCGACGACCCAAGTCACACTGAACCCCCAAGGCTTCATTACAAAAAATACAAGTCCATCACTAGGTCTATCTCCTCACACTCTTGAAAGTACTAATAGCTTCCGCAAAAAGCGTTGAGACATGTCGAAACTCAAACAACATTCATGTGTTGCATCTCTGTGGCTGTCCTTTTCACTCAACTCGCCTCTCAGAACTTCACATAACTTCACCGACCAAGCTACAAGTTTAGTAATGATCTTCAGCAGGAACATCCTCTGGTCCACGGGACTTATGCAAAGCATCACCAGAAAGTAGATTCGAACCAGCGTTCCCAGGGCAGTTAGGATGTTGGTGAGCAAAGCAAAGCCACTCTGCCCATGATGAAACAAAGTATGCAAGAAGTGAAAGATCTGAATGAGACCTGGAGGAGTGAAGAGCATGGAACACTTTGTTTGCGACTGGAGGAGAGCATGTTCCCTCCTCTCACTGTGACAAGTTGATTGTGTATCAATTGAAGTAGGGAACCCATCGAATGCTATCGACGCTATCTATGATTGAGATGCAAAAGCAACAGTACCTCCTTTGAGCACATGTTTGATCATTTTGGGGGTCACGGGCTCTCCTAGTTCGGCTCCCGGTCTACCGGGGGCCCTTTTGATAGCGATTAGTTGTAAGAGAAACCCACACCCACCACCTGCCCAGATCGGTTCCGTCTCCGCATGTCTCCGCGGGGCGAAGCCGTCGGAAGACTCCGACCACGCTAAGGGACTCAGAAAGTGGAAGGGCCCCAAGACCACCACCGCCACCTGAGCGACTCAAAACAGCACCTGTTTAGCGCTGTGAAATTCACACGAGAAGGTCGCGAGAGTCACATGAATTGGCCGTTTTGGAGCACATGGAGCTACTATAGAATACTATAATGCACATGACTGCCACAATCTGCACACCTTAAAACGCCTCTTCTCCAAATCTGTTTGTCTTTCTCAAGAGTGGTACAACTTGGCACAGCATTTGTGTGCTTTCAGAAGTGCGCGAACCAAATTGAGCTACTATATACTGTAGGTTCAATATAGGCCGGCCCAAACATAGTTTCATGATGGTCGAACGAAGTTGTGTCTGTTCAAGTTCGCAAATCTTCTGCAGGTTGAAGTTCCAGTAGTGCTCCCCAGGTTTGATTGGTTAAAGAAAAGAAAAGAAAAACAACAACAACAACAACAACAACAACAACAACAACAACAACAACAACAACAACAACACCAGCAGCAGCAGCAGCAGCAGCAGCAGCAGCAGCAACAGCAACAGCAACAGCAACAGCAACAACAACAACAAACGCAACCGCAACCGCAACCGCAACCGCAACCGGAACCGCAACCCCAACCACCACCACCACCACCACCACCACCACCACCACCACCACCACCAC